AAGTTATGAACTAGCTTAGATTCACCTCTGGAAAAAAAAATGTTTTCCATATACTCATAGAAAGATTATTCCTCACCCTAATTTGAACATTGATTCCATTCACATACACAGACACAACAGAAAAGATAAGCCCTTCTGATACCACATGTACGCCAAAAAAGGGATCAGCTCCAATTTTCAAGTCTTCCGTGCAGTTTGCCTTCTACAAAATATGGGAAAGTACAGTTGACCTGAAACTATTTTACTTTCATATCAGAGCCATCCATAAACGAAACGCTCCTCGCTGGTGGTCACTAGAACTACTGGTACTCTAAACATATTGAACAGAATGAGATTGTGCTCATCAGCATTAAGAGTCAAGGCAGGCATCTTGCTTAAGGTGTCCTTCTGAGCCCTCTTTACAGTTAATGGCAGCACATCTTGAGTGGAATCTTCACTGTAACATCTATTAAAGACAGAAAGAATTCCTCAGGGACATCTCTTTCTTCAGCTATAATAGAGGGAATTAAGTCTCAGCTGAGAGAGCAGATGCTCATTCCTTGAGCTGTTAGACCTGCATGTGGTAGATGCTGTCCATGACATCTTTCACCCCATGAAAGTGTGGGATGGGACCATACTAGGTTGTTAACAGATAGAATGGCTGAATCTACATTACTGTTTTAGTTCACATGGGGGCAATGCTTTTTCTCCAAATCAGCTCCACTTACTGTGCTGTGATCACATTGCAGTCTGAGGATGTGCAAAATGGGTACCTTTCTGATGACGTTAAATGGAACACTGCCACAGTCTCATAGAGCACCTCAACTGCAATTTACAGCTAGTCCAAAATAACTTCCCAGAGATGCATACAGTGTGAATGCCAGGTCCTCAGCACCAACTGTTTTGCTCTACAGATCCATTCCTGCTAAGCTGCACTATTTGCCAACATGCACAAAGACAGATGATTCAAATCAATTCTGCTTGCCTGTGAAAAATATAATGCAAATGAAATGGAGACTTTGAACTAATGGAAGAAAAGAAAATAACAGAACTGTAGAATGGCGACAGCGTAAAATTAAGGTTGTTCAGGCTGCAGCTGAGTAAAATGAAGGCCTGTTGATCTCAAATGTTCTCAGTTTTCTTTTACTGGTCCTATCCTAAACGCTGCCACCCCCTCACTTAACATAACTTAAAAGAGTATTTGTTCCCTTGCAGTGTTTTTTTCACACAAGGCTGGGTCGGCTTAAGCATTTTAATAGTGAGGTCTGAAAAGTCACCACCCATCAACATAAAAATTCTTCAGTTAACAATCTCAACCTCAAAACCATGTAATATTAGCCAGAAAGTACATAAGTTCTTTAAGAGCTGTATTTTTATTTACCTGCTGGGTTTTGTGCTGTTGCAATTCATGCTGGCAGGCTTCTGGACCAGAATGATCCTGAGAAAATACCTGTTTTCTCCAGTGAAGCCTGAGGTTTTCAACTAGTCGTTTGTTCCAGCAGCCAAAGGTTAAGCAAGCTTTATTATGCATATTTAAGCAGTTTTATTGTGCCTTAATAGGTAAATCTCAAAATACAACAGTTTGGCCTTTCTCTGAATTAAATCCACGTGCCTCAGTCCTGTTAACCTGTCGTTGGTGGAATTTCTGTGCGTATTATGAAAAATCTGAAGGAAAAAAAAAAATGTGTTCAGTAGGTTCTGTGGGAATACTGGTATTCCAGGCCATTTTGTAGGACTGGGCCTGGACTGCTCAACCTCTGAAACCAAAGCCTAAGGCACTTCTTTTTGTATTCTGCAACTTTTTTTGTTGGTTTTTTTTTCCTACTCAGTGCAGTGGTCTCACTATTCTTGATTTTCTATTAAGAACTGTGGATCAAAGCTGACTAGTTGTTTGGGTATTAATATTTAAAAAGACAGTCTGGTTCTAATAATCATTAAGAAGGGACAAAGGAATACAGGAATTACTTTTGATATTTTTATGTTGTGCCATTATTGCATTTTTAAACATTTCAGCAAAACTGATCTTATAATAGGAATGGTGTTCATACAAAGACTGTTAAAATTCTGTTAAACAACTGTGCTGTGTCTTAAATAACTAGACATCTTATCTGGCACATGCCAAAGGCATGCTGTAGATTTTTCCAACGACTCTGATTCATCTCCTTGAATTAATTTTTTCCTAGAGATACAATATGGACAATCAGTTAATTAATAACTGTTCTTACAGTCATTACCATGAAGAGATCGTTCTCCTAGAACTCTTAGCACAACTGGTTCTGTACTGTAGAGCCAAACAAGACTGATTAATGCCAGAATTAACGAGCCTTTCTATATCCATATGCCATATACACTATAATTCATCTGCAGTCTAATCACTAACCAAAAGTTTTGAATCAACTGCACAGAGACAAGACTCAAGTGGTTCTGTGCAGGCCTGTATTCCTTCATTCCTGACCATTACACAGAAGCTCAGATCATAAGAAGCTCTCACACACACACACACAGTGCAGTCATCGAGACAAGCAGAAATCATTACAAGATAGGATAAGTGCTCAGAGAAGGGAAGGTAAGCTATACTGTTCTTACAGTGCAAAATAGACAGGATAGAGCTGAAGATATCCTCAAGCCCTTTGTGGTTCTTTGCCAAGTGAATGATTACTTTGAGCTACTTCCCTTAGCAATATATTATTTGCCTTTAAAACTCTTACACTGAACTTCTGTGAAATTACTTCAATTCACTACAATTTTCTTAACAGTTGATTCCCTCCAGGTTAAGACCTGTGTTCTGAAGCACAGAAATACTGTCTGTACCAGTAAGAGGAAACCCTCACAAAAGTGGTTGGGAGTTTTTCCAACAGTGTAAGCAGAGTAGGAGGAAGGGAGCTCTTATGTTCCCGCTATGGAAAATGTTCAGCCCTGATGTTGCCCTCTTATCAAAATAAATATAAATATCAAAATATTCTACAAAGGCAACCAGCTATATTAACATTGTTTCATATAGAGGAAGCTGGAGCACGGAAAGGTAACTCAGCTTTCCTAAAATCTGACAATAATTTGGTGGAAGAGCTGCAAACAGAACCTCCCTTTGCAGACTCTCACTTCAGTGCCCTATCTGCAGAAGTGTGCTGCCTCCCAGCGCTGTCTAGATATGCCAGGCATCTGCACAGCTGTATTTTTAGTCCTGATATCCTCACTGTCTGGAACTGGACCATGAAGACTCACAATAAGCCAAAGACTGTAAATATCCCTTCAACTTTATAGGAGGAAAACTGGCATCATATCAAAGAAGAACAAGCACTTTCTTCAATTTCAGTTTTGCTAACTACTGTCATACTTAAAAGATTTCCTTAAAAAAAACTAAGAACCAACCAGCTGCAGTATGTTGTAAACAAGAAAAATTAGAAGGAAGAGTTCCTGCAGAATGTAACATGTTATGGCAACAGAATCAATTTTTCTTAACTACAAATAACAGAGGTTTCGGGGCTCTTTCAGACCTAATGATTGAGCTGGTCATTAAGTCATAAACAAAAATCTTTCCATCTCCCAGTACTACTGTAAACCTTGGTTTTCTCCCAGCCCACTTTGCTGCAGGAGAAGACCAAAAATTCCCATGCATTTCAGATGCCCAAGCCTTTCTCAAAACTACTTTACCACTAAAATATTAAGGCTCTATTGTTGGATCAAAATTCCTTTCAAAATTCATAACCTATTTTTGTCCTATTTTGAGGAGTGTCTTTTGAGTTTTCTCGATCCATAGCAAACATGCTTATTTTCATGATCTTTGAGGTCCCTCCTAACCCAAGCTACTCCACGATTCTATAATTCTATGACATAATATTCTATGAAGCTGAGGTCTCACGGGAAGCTGGAAAGAGGTAATACAGAGACGGAGACCGGATAGCAGGTATATACACATTATTTTGTGTGATAACAGGACAGTCCTCAAAATTATGAGGATTAGTTTCCTCTGGCAAACACATCCACTAAACAAGGACTCCTGAGGGGAAAAAAAAGGTGAGTAGAAAGTATGGAGTTCTGCTACTTTGTCAGGAAAATAATACCTTGGGTGAATTCCGAGTGAAGAGCCAGGGAAACTCAGAATGGGGCACTCTCTTTGGTGGGACATAGTATGGGTTCTGCAGGCATACTTTTGCAATGAAGACTGTGACTGTTTTTATAGAAACATATTACAAAGTTGCAAAATTCAGCAGCTCTTTTGCTTGTAAACTAATAACTGCTTCTCCCTGAATGAGTTGTTTCTGAGTGGAAGAATTTTTCCCAGCAATTTAGTGCTCCAAATTAGTTTTTCTGAGACACTGAAACTGTGTGATTAACATTCACTTTGCAGAGGAGAAGAGCTTGGATAGCTTTACATTCATTCTGCTTTTCTCCTCACTCCAGACACTGTTCCTTCCGCTCAACACTCATTCCCCTGGATACCATTCCTTTCTGATTAACACAGGGGAATTTCTCCAAGCCATGCCTTGCAGGCAATGTTTTTCCCATGAAACGTTCCCATATTACTTGCAGCCAAAGGAAGTTTAAACATTAAAACTTACCAGTAGGGAGATCTAAAATGGATATTGCCTTCACTGCATTACTTTCTAAATCTTGCTGCCAGATGATAAGGGGTCACTAACTAACAAGTGATTTGTTTCTTATAGAAAGAACAGCTTGGCTATTAATATGAAAAGTTCCAGCCAGTTAAAAACTCTGAAAAAGCTCCAGAAAAATGCTAAAACTCTGAGATACGGGGTCTCTATGGGCCTTAATCAGGATGGCATGTAAAAATGCTGCCAATGCTGTGAACAATTTTTGCTGCATCACATTATTAATACTTAATGTCAGTGCACTTTGCTGCTACAGCCAGAGCAGGGTAATTAAACTGTTACTTTATTGTAGAGAATATGCTTTTCTTTTCTTCCCACTGTTAACACGACAGGCAGGAAGGACATTGTTACACCAGAGCGTGTTTTTGGACCACCGATTGTTAACAGCAGCGTTCTCTTTTTTTCTTGCAGAATGAAGTGGCTGTGCTTCTCAAACCAATATCAGAGAAGATTCAGGAAATACAGAACTTTAGAGAAAGAAACAGGGGAAGTCAAATGTTCAACCATCTCTCAGCTGTCAGTGAAAGCATACCTGCACTCGGCTGGATAGCAGTGGTAAGTCACACACAGGCCAGCTGGGAGGGCTGTCAATGGATGTTGTGGCACAGAATAGGTCCAAATCTTGCAGAACTTTGTAGTCTCATCTGCATAGTTCTTCACTCTACTACAACCAAGAAGCTGCTTTATATTATACCTAATATATCAGGGAAGGTGTCTGACTAATGTTTTACCTCCTTTCTCCTTCTGTTGTTTCCTGCTACCATGGGTTGATGGTCCTAGTCTCCTAAACCAGGCCCTTATGTCAAGGAGATGAATGATGCTGCTACCTTTTATACTAACAGGGTATTAAAGGACTACAAGCACAGGTATGTTGCAAAGCCCCAGTGTCTACTAGCCACCATGAGAGAAGAGAGCATTAACCACGCTAACAGGGTGCACAATCCCATCACAAAAAAAAAAACAAAAAAAAAAACATTTTGTAAACAAAAAAGCATTTGTTAAAATCTGATCACAGTAGCTTGCTTTCCCCTCCTCATCTTAGACCAGCAGTGTGTCGCAGCGAGAATGGCAGCAGCACAAGCAAAGCTGGTTTTCGTTCTCTGCAAGTTAATATGATTAATTTTCAGGAGTGCCAGAATGTTGGCTAACTAGCTGCTATGTGTCCCTGTCTCACTTGTGCACTCAAACTGTTACTGTTTTTTCTCTCTGCTTGGAAATGCATGTTTACATGCTAGGTGTGTACAGTTGAGCATCTACTCTCAGAGCTCACAGTGATTTTTTTCTGTACTACTACACTGTTCTTAAAAAGCACAGGGAATTCACAGAACAGTTCCATGAATGGGATCAGGAAAAGAGAATAAGTGTAGGCCCTTTCTATGCACTTTTAACAAATGTCATGTGTAAGTCCTTTTCATTTGGTACTTTTGGAGGCCAGATTTTGGCTTTTTATTTTTATATCCTCAGTGAAAAATAGTGTTTGGAGTTGAGTTTCTTCTCTTTAGTGAGGAAAACTTTATATACTTATGTATTTAAATATATAGTTTTATGTATAGATTTCAGTTTGTTCTATATGTATAAATATATTACATATGTATTATATATGTGAAATACATATTATATATTATTATTTTTTGAAGCCTTAGTTGACCTGCTTGAGGTAACTGAACATTTTTACAATTTAGCTTTGGAAGTACTTATCTTAAAGCAAAATAAAATCTCACATCAAGGTGTAAAGAGGGTGCATTAGCTAGGTACAAAGTTAGTTCTTCTCCTAACAAGGAATTCTTCCCATGTTTTTAACTGAATATTTGACCAGATCACAGTGTCTTCCAAAGCAGTGGAAAGCTGTCTCTTGACTTCACTAGGCCTTGGATTAAACCCATTGTCCCAGATCCTCAGCTGTATTAAACATCAAGCTCCAAAGGAAATAAACAGGGGGTAGGTACCCAAGCACTTGTGAGCATCCACTCCATGGCAGTCACTGTTCAGTAATTACTCTTATGTGGAGTTCCCTAAGTAAGGACCACTCTTACAAGCAGTTTCTCTTTCTGTATGTACTTCCTGTTCTCACTTAATGTACCAGTGGAAGACTTAAGCCTTCCAAATAATGATTCCAGAGCCAACTTTTATTTGCATCAAAATGCTTGATGTATAAGTTTTTCAGTCAGATCCTTATTATATACTAGCTATACTAATACTAGCTTATACATGAGCTAGTATTACACTGGCTACATATGAACTTGGGAGCTAGAGCACTGTAGGTAACCCACAAATAGTTCATTTTCGAAAATTCAGAACCTCGAGATTGAGTCCAGGAAGCTGCTACAAAGTTCCAGATAGCTTCAGTGCTTCTTCAGTTGACTGTGAGTTTGAACAGGAGGAGGCAACACCCTACCAGCAGGCTGTGCTAGAGGCACCACTGCCTCTGGAAGAGCCCAAAAACTTCTAATAGGCCTGAGTATCTTCAGCACTGTGCTGGCTTGCTCCCTGCTAACTGGTTTGTCCATGGCTGCAGGCTTTATCTGCTGTAAGCATGAATAGCAGCATTTTCTGATGTGAAGTACAAACACAGATATAAATATTGTTTGTTTTTTACAGTGATACACGTCATGTTGATTGGGTGAAGTCCTACTTGAACATCTGGTCTGACCTTCAAGCATATATCAAAGAACATCATACTACAGGTCTCACCTGGAGTAAAACTGTAAGCACCCTTCATTGTTTCATGAAAAAAAAAAAAAGTAACCAATTTGACTTTTAATGGTCATTAGCTCAGAAAAATACATATCCAGGTGAGAAACAGAATTAATGGCCAATGAACTTCCTAGCCAAGATGACAGAAGCTTGAAAGACAGGCAAAGTTGATCTATCAGGCCACTGTGATACAGTTTTTGAGGAAAAAAGATTTGTTTGGGGTGGTTACAACTATAATTCCCAGTTGCAGATAGTGAGGAAAGACAGACACAGTTCTCCAGGCCAGATACAGTGGAACACAGGAACAAAAACAAAAAATGTAAAGGAAAAAGAAATTCATGCCAAGTTCTTAGTCCACAGTTAGCCATCTGTATAAACTTAGTATTTTATACATAAAGAGATAATTTCTGAAATACATATACTTCATATATATATTCAGAGAGATAGCATATATAACTGTGCTATTTATGCTCTCTATATGAGCATCTTCTGGGTGATACATCTGAAATGGATAACAAGATGATCACAATGAATATTGTTCTCTAAAAGAAGTAAAAAACATTAGGAATGAGTTTTCTGTTAGATATAAAGGTGAGAGTTTATGTCAACAGTCTACATTCATGCAGTGTTCTACATAAGATTGGAATAACGTACTTACATTTATTACCAAGTTACAAGATTTGCTGTCATAATTTTCTAAACTTACCAGTGCACACACATACTTGCACATACAGTCATTCATACCAAGACTATCACTTATGCATAGGCAAACATTTTTATTTTTAATTGAAAGACCGTTAAGAGGCTGACATAGACTATCAGATAACTTAATTCTCAGACCCAAATCATGGTGACAACACAAGGAAGTGAAACGGATCTTTATGATTGAATGTATATTAACATGGTATCTAGAAAAGTTACTTCATCTCCCATGTATGGAAGACATAATCATATGAAAGAATGTAGAACATATACTACTTGTTCTCAGCTACAGACACTGTACAAGTCCTTACAGTATTCAAATGCAAATTCAAATACAAGAGAAACTATGATCTGTGTGTACTTTTTAGTTTGAAGCAATGCAAAAATATTTAAACCTGATAAATTGAAAGACTGGAATTATCTCCTGCTTTGTAGGGTTCTGTAGTAAAAATCTGAAATGTTAAATATGATGCTCTCTCTTAATTCAGTACAAAGTTTCACACATGCTACATCTGACTCTGTTGTAATCAGTGAGCATGAGAAGAGCCGATGATTTTTAAGTGACTGTTAGGAAAGCATAAGAAATTATAGCATCCTGCTAGCAGTTATCCTAAGTATCTGGAACGAGTTTAGTTCTGCCAATAAAGAAAGATACATGTATCAGTGCATCTTTAATTAAATAGAATTTTACAAGAATAGAAGTAGTGCTATAGAGATTTGTTATATTTGTTACACAATATAGAAGGAAACCTCAGTGCTGTGAGTACTGGTAATCTTACAGAGAGTGTGGCTATTGCAGATTATATTTGACTGGTCTTAAATGCATCTCAGCCGTCACATCTCTCTATTTTCCTTTCCTTTGATATGCAGCAAATTGCTGAAACCAAATCTAGGTGTGACTTGTTTATTCGTATTAATCGTATTTTACTGTGAACAGTGCTTATTATATCTTGAGTGATGAGACTACTAGTATATCTAAAGCATTGTTTTCACTCAATTTGGATATTGCTTTCATTTGAAAGAAGATATCTTGGAAATATGGATCATATGAACTATCATTCATATAATGTATGCCAGAAAGATTAAGTTAAAGGTTATACGTCTACAGGAAAGCAGTTTGTAAATTTTTATTTCATGTGATTGTAAGGACATTGGAATCCAGTGAGGTAGCAGGTTGTTTAAATACCCTGTTTAGATGTTGTTTAAATATTTTTATGAAGATTGGTAACAATTACATCCATGAAAGCGATGAATTACTAAGATGATACTGTGATTTTTTAATGCATTTTAAGGTGAGAATGAAAGTGACGGATTCATGCTGCGTGAAGTTAAGCATGAAGATCTGCAGAATCAGGGCCTAGACAGAAAGGGAGGTTATAAGAAAGAAGCAGACAGACTCTTTGGCAGGATTTGTTGTGACAGAACAAGGGAAATGGTTTCAAACTAAAAGAGGTGAGATTTAGATTGGATATAAGGAAAAATGCTTTATACAATAAGGGTTGTCCAGATTGCCCAGAGATGTGGTGGATGCCCCATCCCTGGAGGTGTGCAAGGTCAGCCTGGAGCATGCTTTGAGCAACCTGATCTCACGTGTAGGTGTCCACGTTCATTGCAGAGTGGTTGGACTAGGTGACCTTTAAAAGTCCCTTCCAAAAGATTCTATGAAATACAATATTTAAAAGTTGTAGAAATATTCCAGATGCAGTTGTTAATCATGGCACACAGCAGCTTCCACTTATATGCATAAAAGAAAAAAACAGTGTGGCAAGGCATTAAGAAGGTGGTACATTTATGAAAGGGAGACGTTGATACAGAAAAGCTATTCTGCTTTTAGGGGGAGAGAGAAAGAAAGCAAGTCTTTGACCAGTGAAAGTACACATTTATAAGTACACTATAGCAATAATTTAGCCTTCATAGCTGCAGAAGTCAACAAAGCAATGCTAGAAGCATTAATAGAAAAAGCTGTTAAGTGAAATATTTGGGTAATTCTGAAGAGAACATCAACTACTGCATTTCTTAGAGCTGTATTATTATAGCTTGGACTGCAACAAAACACCAGTAGCATCAGTCCAGGCTAAGCTTGTGTTTCCAAAAAGGATGGGGCAGTTTTTTTAATGGGCAGTTGGCCTCTTTATCTATAGATGCAGCATGGTGTGGCACACACATTTCTGGCCGTGCTCCAAGGCAGTATCACAAAGCCATGCAATTTCCAGCCCCCATGTACCCATCCATCAAGTTGCACAGCGCAGCTGCAGCCAACTTTGTAACAAATCATTGGTACATACAGCAGTGTTCTTGGCTCCAGCAGTAGCACACAGGCAGACACTTTAGAGAAAAGTGTCAGAAATGTCTTAATAAATTACAGGACATGCACTAAAACTAAAACACATAAATGTATCCTGTAGTGAGAAGCAGTTCAGTGTACTCTCTATATATCACTTAAAGCATCTTGATAATTGGAACAATAGTAATTACCCACCTAATAGAGATATGCAAGCATTAACTTGCTGCCATATATGAAATTCTGAAGTGTCAGTGAGTTTTATGCAAAAAATGAAATGCAGTAAGTGTCCGGTGTAGCATTTTACCCATTCAGCAACTGTCATGTTTGCTTGCTGCAGCTTTCTGACTTAAACATGAAATGTACAGCTGTAACAGTAACCTCCGTCCTTTTTTCAGTCTTTACTGAAAATAGCAAGTGTCCTTTTCCTTCCCCCCACCTCCTAAAGAAGGGATTCTATTGAAGCACAGCTCGCTCTTTCCTCCCTGCTTTTTTTTTTTCTTTCTTTTGGTGGTGCAAAGAAATGAACAGCTGTAATATAAGCTCACAAGAATGCCTCATAAAAGTTTGTTTGCTACAAGGACTGCATGAGTAAGCTGGGGGAAGTGAAACTTCTGCTCCTATTATTGCAGGTTAACTCTGCAGCAAGAAAATGAGAGGTTGCTGTAGTTTCCTGTACATCAAATAAGTGTTAAGAAAGAGATCTTGCTCAAGGATAATTGTCTTAAATGTTCCTCTCATTTGCAGATAGAGCTGCAGTAAGTTTTTGCTGTTTGTACACAGTTGTCATTTAGGATGAATTTTGACAGCAGGATTTGAAGAGGTATTCACAAAATAGGGGTGAATTTCTTTACAGTGTTTGGTTTAACACAAAATGACACTCAAGTAATGAATGCTCTCCCACCCCCGTTTACAAATCAAAACAAATTGCTAGCAGGAAGCCTGCATCTGCATAGCAGTTGATGTAGTTGAATCAGTTAAGATTTATTTATAACCTATTCCCACTGAATCATAGAATGGCTTGGGTTGGAAGGGACCTCCTGAAGTCTTTTTTCCTTTCATTAATGTACATATATATATGGTCATATACTATTCTAAAAACATTATTTAAAAGTTGAAATTCACCACAGGTTCTACAAATGGCCATCACACATCCTACATCAGCCTGAGTGCAATTACACTGGCCTCAATGCAACCTTTGGCCATTTTGTGCTCACCCAGAATAATCACCTGCAGATATTTTCCTATTAAAAGGCTCTGCCTGTCTCCTGTACTATCAAAATACTTTCTTGCAACGTATCAACTCTCTAAATAACAATGTGAACAAGTTGAAAAAGACCAAATCCTGCAGGCGAAAGCCTTCTATTATCATTACAGTATCTCTTCTGTGCTGTTTGGTTTGACTCACTTATCAAGAAGCCATCGTCTGAGCCACTTCACTGAAGCTAAAGGTCAAAACTGTAGTGCCAAATTCCATCCAAAGCCACAGCTGCAATCCCAGAGGCTTCACTCTGACAGAACTAATGGCAGCACACACAGACTGATTTAAATGTCTGTACCTTGGATAAGACACAGACTTTTTCAGAGTGTTCGGTTTTTCTTGTCATAGCTTTTCCTTGCCTCTTCTGTCTCTTTCTCTTCCCTTTTATTTCCTTTTCTTCTTCCTCTTCCTCTCCCTCTCCCTCTCCTCCTTTCCTTATGTTCGATGTTAAAAATTTGTTCCCTTTAGCTGTTTGTTTCTCAGACAATAGACAACATACAGGTTTTGATATCTGATCAATTTAGAAAGTGGCCTCCAGAAAGATACAGGAAAAACCCTTTCCTTAAGGCAGTTTCTTATTTGGAAACTGCCCTAAAAGTTGCCCATCATTTTAGAAACATCCTGGCAACTCTATAATTAGTTGCTTCTGTTGGACTTTGCCACTATGACATTGAAGTCCCTTTGAAAAAAGTGGTTTTACTCCCTTATTTAAAAAATGGCTGAAAATACATGTCTCTGCTGGCTATCAGTGGTGTCCTTTCAATGT